CCCCCGCCCGGTCCCTCCCAGCGCTGGCGGCAGCCCGGGTGCGGTGTCCCCGAGCTGGAGAGAGCCCAGGCGTCCGGGGCTCCAGCCCCATGAGGCCTCTCCCCGCCCCTCCAGGTCCTGCCCTACCTCACGACCATCTTCGGGGGCCTGGCCCGGCGCGTGGTGCTGCTGCAGGGCACGGTGGCCGCTGGAGCAAAGCGGTAAGGACGGGGTTAAAGGCGGGGGGGCAGGGAGCAGGAGTTATCCCGGGAGCCGCTCTGCCCTGCTCCGGGGTCCCCCCTCCCGGTTCCTGGCGCCTTGGGGCTGGTCTGGGCAGCTGCTCCAGCCCCCAGGCTCCCAGTCCCTCCGCAAAGCTGGGGAAGACCCAGGAGTCAGGACCTCAGCCCCAGGCCCTGCTCCCGTCCCAGAGCTGCAGAGGGTGCTCAGCCACCCGCAGGGGTGGAGAGCCCGTCTGGGGAACCACGGACCCCGACACCCCAGGCCCACGCTGGAGGGACCCCAGGCATCGGGGCTCCTACTCCCCCCAACTCCCCTCCCAGAGCTGTGGCGGGTCCAGGCGTCCCTTCCCCACCTTTTCCAGCAGCCACGTTCCCAGGTTAGAGCAGGGGGAGGGAGGCCTGTGGGACCCTGGCGGCCAGCGGAGGGTGCTTGGGGAGGGGAACCCAGGTGTCCGGGCGCCTCCGGGCAGGTTCCACGTGAACTTCCAGTGCGGCTGCAGCCTGCGGCCCAGGCCGGACGTGGCCGTCGGCCTCTGCCTCCGGCTTGGGGCCCGAGCTCGGCTGGTGTGTGCGGTGCGGGAGGCCGGGCGCTGGCGGGGAGCCGTGCGGCTGTCTCGACTTGCCCTGCGGCCCGGAGACGCCGTCCTGCTCCTCTTCCGCTTCCAGGAGGACCATGTGCAGGTGAGGGACCCCTCTGGCATCCCCGCTCCCCTCCCCGAGCTGGAGAGGACTCCGGGCTCCCGCTCCCCTCTCTCCCTCCAGGTGAGCCTGAACTCCCAGCCCCTGCTGTGCTTTCGCTACCGCCTGCCCCTGGCCCGGATCAACACTCTGGGGGTCTTCGGGGACGCGTGGATCAAGGCCATCGCCTTCCTGCCCACCAATGTGAGACCTGGCCGGGAGCTGCCCCCTGCTTTCCCTGCCCCCCTTCTCCACAATCCCACGATGCTCAGCCATCAGCAAGGGTGGCGAGCCCAGCTGTCTGGGGAACCTTGGGTCCATAAACCCCAGCCCCACACAGCGCCCAGAGCTGGAGAGACCCCAGGCATCCAGGCTCCATTGCAGTGATCAGTCGTTACTCCTTGCACCTGCTGGTGAATTGGCCCCTCACCCCCTTTCTCTCTCTTGCTTCGCAGCCCTTTGATGCCAGTCAAGCCACCTGCCCCACTGCCCAGGTGAGTCGAGGCCCGTCTCCGTGTCCGGGCTCCCAGTCCCCCTGCTTTAACCACTAGACCCCACTCCCCTCTCAGAGCTGGAGAGCGCCCAGGTGTGTGGGCTCCTACCGGGTCCTACTCGCTTCCTAGAGCTGGGGAGAGGAGCCAGGTGTCCGGGCTCCAGCCCCCTTGCTCTGACCACCAGCCCCTACTTCCCTCCCAGAGGTGGAGAGCGCCCAGGTGTCCCCGTTAAGAAGAGCAGATACCAGCCGTGGTGCGGGAGTGAGCCTCGCCTCACTGGTGCAAATCCTCATGAAACCCTCGTGCAAATCCCCACAGGGATTCATGCGAGACCCTCGTGCGAGTCCAAGCAATGGCTCCCCGAAGCCCCCGGGTCTCACAGTTCTGTCTCTTCTCCCTCCAGCCCCTGCTGCCAGTCCAGACCCAGCTGGTGAGTGATTTCCACCCCCGCCCCCCCCCCCCCCCCCCCCCCTCTAACGCGCGG